AAGAACCTCAAAACTGAATTCACATTATAATCTAAACTAAAGCAGGATACAAAACTGCAATACACATTCATAGCCATACACACAAATACTGAAGGATGACTAGAAAAAAGTCAAGTGTTTGCCTAATGTAGCCGGCATATACAATGATTATTTTTCTTTTCATTTTTAAAAACCACTCTATAATGAAATTATATAAAATGTTCATAATAAAAAATAATACCTTCATTTTCATCTTAAGTCGTAGTGTAAAATGACATTTCTATTTCTGCTGACTATTTTAGGGTATCAACACTGAAATCCTTGTAAGATTTAATTTAACACACAAAAAAAGCCAACAATATAAGTCGGTCTGAAAGCCAAACAACCCAACAATTCATCAGGCAACTAAAAATTAGCACTCTGAATCAGAACATAATTCTGGGAAGGAAAAGGTTTAAAGACGTCCTAGAAACAAGAAAAGAAAACTCCAAAGTACAAATGACAGTTTACTTTTACCAAACAGCTTATCAAGTGATCTTTATGTAAATACTGCAAATGTTACAAAGCCCCTCAAAAAGCCCAACATTATTTTTACAGATTAGAAAAGAACAAAGGCCAAAAACAACACCAATAACTCAATTAAAATAACTCATGCTTATGTTTACATATAATTTGATGAGCATAATATATTCGTCACACCACTGCAATTATTCTCTGAAAATAATACTCTAAATATTATTTTGACAGCGTAATTATAGTTCTTACCTCAAGAGCGGTAACAAAAAACTGGCACAGATACCCTGCTAGAAATCTACAAAGAGTAAGGTCCTCACAGAGCAAGTCAAAAGATAGTACAGGCACTGTATCAAGGAACAAGAACGCTTTTGAAAAGATTTGTTATTACGTTTGAACTAACATACTGTAAAATTTGTTTAAGCTTCATTGTTGAAACAAAGTTGCATTCTTGAATTCCAAATAAAATTCATTTATATCACTGGCTGCCTTTTTCAAGAAGGTAGTGAGAAGTATCACTTCCACTTTCCCTTCTTGCCTCAGTAATGTCCTTCCAACTCTGTCAACAGACGCAAGCATCTACTTGAAACTGATACAATTGAAAAAGAAGACCTAGATAAGTGGAGAGATGTTCCCTATTCACGGACCGGGAGACTCAATATCATTAAGATGGCAGTTCTCCCCAAGTGGATCTTCAGATTCAACGTAATTCCCAGTATCCACAATACATAAATAACTCTCACAACTTGACAACAAAATTTAAAAGCCCAATTAAAAACGGGGCAAAGGGGGGGCTTCCCTGGTGGCACAGTGGTTGAGAGTCCGCCTGCCGATGCAGGGGACACGGGTTCGTGCCCCGGTCCGGGAAGATCCCACACGCCGCGGAGCGGCTGGGCCCGTAAGCCATGGCCGCTGAGCCTGCGCTCCGCAACGGGAGAGGCCACAGCAGTGAGAGGCCCACGTACCGCAAAAAAAAAAAAAAACAAAAAACTGGGCAAAGGGCACTTCCCCGGCAGTCCAGTGGTTAAGACTCCACACTTCCAATGCAGGAGGTGCGGGTTCGATCTCTGGTCAGGGAGCTAAGATCCCACATGCCTCACGGCCAAAAAACCAAAACACAAAACAGAAGCAATATTGTAACAAATTCAATAAAGACTTTAAAAATGGTCCACGTCAAAAAAATCTTAAAAAAAAAAAAAAAAACTGGGCGAAGGACTTCAATAGACATTTCCCCAAAGAAGATTTACAAATAACCAAAAGGCACATGAGAAGATGTTCAACATCATTCGTCATTAGGGAAATGCAAATCAAAACCACGATGAGATACCACTTCACACCCACCAGGATAACTATACTCCAAAAAAAGGAAAACAAATGTCAGCAAGGACGTGGAGGAACTGGAACCTTGTACACTGTTGGTGAAAATATAAAACAGCTGCTATGGAAAAGTTCGGCAGTTTCTTAAAAATTTACATATAAAATTGACGCACCAATTCCACTCCTAGGTATACACGCAAAAGAACTGAAAACAGGTGCTCAAATAAATATGTGTACACACACGTTCAGAGCAGCACTATTCTAAACAGCCAAGCAGTGGCACAAGAGCCACACTGTGGAAACAACCCAAATGCCCATCAATGAATGAACGGATACACGAAACATGTGTTCTATGCATACAATGGAATATTATTCAGTCACAAAAAGAAATGAAGCACTGATACATATACAATGTGGATGAACCTCAAAAAACATTATGCTAACTGAAAGCAGCCAGACACAAAAGGTCACAAAATTCTATGATTCCATTTATATGAAAAATCCAGAACAGGCAATCCATAGAGACAGAAGGCAGAATGGTGGATGCCAGGGGCTCAGGGAACTGGGAAATGGAAAGCAACTGCTCAATGGGTACAGGGTTTCCTTTTGGGGTGATGAGAATGTTTCCAGTTAGACAGAGGTGGTGGCTGTACAATGCTGTGAATGCACTAAATGCTACTCGATTGTTCACTTTAAAGTGGTTAATTTTATGTGATGTGAATCTCGTAACAATAAAAAATGTATTAACTGATATAACTACAACTACATAAATTGTGAACAACTCTTAATATACCTAACATAAAACGGGTCTATGAAGATCTACGCTCTCTGACTGGTCGATATCAATGAACAGCCAAGCCGCCAACCAAACAACTGATTTATTCATCAATGGCAAACCAGTTCATAAAAAGTTTCAGAAATGTGTTCCTTTGGTTTTTTTGCTAGATCATCTATTCGCTTCAGTGAAGAGAAAATTAATCCTGAGAAGAAAGGATGAAATAATCTTTCATCACATTTTGTAAACACCAAGTAACCAATCTCCTGTAGCAGCCGTGGGATAAAGACAAGGGATACTGGACCGAGGGGGACACAGAGTCAAGGGAAGACACTTTTAAGTGGAAAACAGGAGAGCACATTATACGCTGGTGAAATGACAGAGTAAAGAGGGGAAAGGGATGATGCCGGAGAGAAAGGGGACACTTTCAGGGGAAGAGTTTCTGAGTGGGCGAGTGGGGATGGGATTCTATGCACAGGTGGAGGAGGGCTGGCTCCGCTCTGACAGTTATTTACTCACAGCGTTTGTGCAGTGCTTCCTCTGGTGTCTTATTTAGGAATCCACCATTACCAGAGAAACCTACTCCTGCCCACCCTAGTTCCTCAGCTCTGTCAGTGACACACTACCCACCACATCGGTGTTTTTTCCAGCAATTATAAAACGTAGTACATTCTGAACTCTCTTTCTGAATTATCATACCACAGTCAGACTTCCAAAATAACTGCTTTTCCATACAAGAGAGTGAAATCTGTATTTTACTGCTGGTTTTTAACCCCCCAATTTGAGCACTGAGGCTTCTGTTTTATCACAAAATGGAGCTACAAGAATACTTTTAAATATACAACATTTTAAAACACTTTACAACCTAATGCTACACCCTACCAAATTGAGAATACTAAAGAAATTATTGCTGTTCCAAAAAACTTAGAGCCAACACTTTGTGTGCCAATTCTTAGATAATTTAATTAGTTCAAAAAATAATTACAATGTCCCAGAGGAAGAATCCTAAATCAAACAGAAAGACGCAGGAATTTTAACAAATGAGTTTGAAATGAAAACACTAAGAAATCACAGAGTAGAATGAGAACTAAACTAAGCCGGGTGGTACCTCTGACAGTTCAGTTACCCTGTTTCACTGTGGGCCTCAGTCTCTATGCCTCTGAAGAAAGACGATCAGCTCAAATTCTCTCTCTACCTTCTCAAAGCAGCCTCCCCACTAACATTCAGATAAGCATGCTTCACTTTATACAGTAAGTATAGGCATTAAGAATTGTATATAAATCAACATTTTAAATACAGCTGGAGAGCTCTCATTTGAAGTAACTATTCATTGAATTAGCACTAAAAAAAATTTTTTTTAACCTCCAATATAGTACATTTTATAAAAGCTGGATATTTACATTCAGATGTTCTATTAAATGACTTAGGTTTACCCAGAAGTATTTCAATTCCTTGGATAAAGAGATCACCTGTTAAAATTATATGTTTTTATTTTTAAATATAATGGTATGATAATAACCTCTGTCCAAAGAAGTGTTGATGCAAGTAGTTCAAGAACCAAAAACATTCCAAAAAGTCTGGAAAAGCTTCCTGGTCTTCAAATTAAGGAGCCTGGTTTTTCTCTTAATCCCATACCAACAGCTATTAACACTCAGAGCTAACTTCCCTCTGTGTCATGCTGTATATTTGCCTTATTTAATGTACTTAATACAAGGCTCCCCTCACTGGAACGTACACATCTGAGGACAGAGGTTTTTTGACTGCTTTGGTCCCTGTTCAGATCACATGCAACACCGAGAATAGGGCCTGCCACACTGACACATATTAAAAGACACAGTAACACTTTGCTAGGGCTGCCATAACAAAGTACCACAGACTGGGTGCCTTAAATAAGAAAAATGTGTTTTCTGTTTTGAAGCTAGAAGTCTGAGGTCAAGGCGTTGGCAGGACTGACTTCTTCTGAGGCCTCCCTCCTTTGTTTGCAGGTGGTCATCTTCTCCCTGTGTCTTCACATGGTTGTCCCTCTACACCTGTGTCCTCATCTCTTCTTATAAGGACACCAGTGACACTCGATTAGGGTCTACCCGTATGACCTCATTTTACCTTAATTATCTCTTTAAAGGCCCTGTCTCCAAATATAATCACATTCTGAAGTATACTAGGGGTTAGGACTTCAACACATGAATTGGGGGAGGCGGGGTGGGTGGAACACACACAATTTAGCCCACAACAGAGGGAGAAAATTGGAAGTCACTACAACTTTCTTCTATGATGATTCTTTAATATCACTAATGAAGTTTCTCTGTATCATGAAATACAGAACCATCTGCTTTAATGAATGATGTAATACTCAGAGTGCTGGTATTTAAATCCTTTTCAAAGATATAAGTAATCCATGAATCATACTGCAAATTACCTGTCAACAGGGATTCCTGTTCCACTCGAAGTTCACGAAAAAGAAGAATCAAATCAACAGCAACACCAATTGTATCCAAGTTCCTGTATAAGGGTTTTAAAAAGGACAAAGTTAGACACACTCTTTTTCTTAAACCTGCACTTCAAATTATGATCCACAGTGAACGCGGAGGCTACCGGTTAACAGTTCCTGTGGTGGGCAGAATAATGGCCCTCCAAAGTGTCCACATCTTAATACCCAAAACCTGTGAATATGTTACCTTACATGGCAAAGGGGACTTTTACAGTCGTGAATAAATTAAGGACCTTGAGATGAAAGGACTATCCTGGATTGTTAACCAGGCGGGCCCAAGGTATCACACGGGTCCTTTTAAGAGGAATACTAGAGGGTCAGGGAGGGCAGCCATGAGCCAAGGAGTGCAGGCAGCCTCTACAAGCTGGAAAAGGCAAGGAAAATGATTCTCCCCTAGAGCCTCCAAAAGGGGTTCAGCCATGTTGGCCCACTGTGGACTTCTGAATTTCAGAACTGTAAGATAATAAATGTGTTATTTTAAGCCACTACGTTTTTAGTAATTTGTCAAGTAGCAACGGGACACTACTGTGGGTAGGAGAAATGGGGTGCTGCTGTAATACACAGATACGTGGACGTGGCTCTGGGATCTGGCAATGGGCAGAGGCTGGAAGAATTTTGAGAAGCGTGACAGAAAAGGCCTAGATGCCTTGAATAGAAACGTGGACACTGAAGGCACTGCTGGTGAGATCTCAGAAGAAAATGAGGAACTCGTTACTGGAGACTGGACGGAACAATCCTTTTTCTCCAGCGGCAGAAGCTCAGCAGAACGATGAATCTGGATATTTAGCTGAGCAGATTTCCAAGCAACACGTTGAAGGCATGGCCTGACTTCCTCTTGGTGTGTATGGTAAAATGCGAGAGGCGAGAGACAGAGGAGACTAAAAGGGAACCAGGTATGATTTGGGAAATTCTCAGTCTATCCGGATTGCAAAAGACGCTAAAACTAGACTATTCACTGTGAGGAAATTGTGCTCCGGAGAGAAAGCCACGGATGTGGCTGGATGACCTTCTGCTAACGTCTTGGAAGAACCAAAAGGTTGGTGTTCAGTTACACAGAGGGCCCTTTAAAGAGACTAGGAGTGTTACTCATTCCCCTCAGTGATCTCAGCAGAAATCAGGAATAGAGATGGGGTTATCTAAGAAAGCTCTATGGCAGACCCTAGATTGCTTAATGGTATATAACTCCCCGTGACATACATGTGAGACCCACAAGGTTTTTGAGAATGTTATACCAGTAGAAACTCTGCCAACCTGGATGAAATGCACAGAGAAAGGATGAAATGAAAGAAGGCTGTTAAACTCCCAAAATCCCACAGGCAGGAAAGAGGCTGATAAAGTTACTCAGCTGAAAACATGTATGACTCTTACCCTTCAAGAAAAAGGGAGGATGACTCTGAGGGTAGGACCAAGGGCAGAGCCCCAAGCCACAGAGGATCATTCCCAGGCCTCAAAACCTGAGTTTGCCCAACTGGATTCTGAAATTGCTTGGGACCAGTGACTCCCTTTTCCCTCAATTTCCTCCTCTTTTAGAGGGTAATGTCTAAAGCTGTTACCCTAGGCCTGTCCTACCACTGTATTTCGGGAGCAGACAACGTCGTGTCTAGTCTCACGTGTCCAAAGATAAAGAGGAATTTTGCTTCAGGATGAATCACATCCAGAGTCTCACCCAGATGTAATTTAGATGCTAAGATTTGGGACTTTTTAGCTAATGAGACTTAGATGAGACTTGGGGCTTGAGTTGATGCTGAATGGGTCGAGAATGTGGGGGACCTTGAGACGAGATGAATGTATTTTGCAAACAGGACAGACGTGAATCTTTAGGGGCCAAAGGGTAGACTGCGCTAGGCAAAATAATGGCCCCCTAAAGATGTCCACATACCAAACTCTGGAAACTGAATATATTACCTTACATGGCAAAGAGATGTGATGTAATCAATTTATATTTGATCCAGTTTCTGGCACAGAGCTCCTAAAACCCTTGGAAGTTCCTGTGTGAGAGGAAGGCCTTTTGTTATTCGTAACAAGCCCCTTTCAACCATACCTGAGCTTATGCTAAAGAGGGGACTCTTCCTGGGCCTGCAGGATGGGAGGTGGCTGCCAGAGGGACCAGCCCTAAGATCAGACAGCTGGAACCTTCAACCCCAACCTCCTACCTCTGAGGAAGGGAAGGCAGCTCAATCGCCATGGCTGGTGATTTAATCAACCACACCTATGTGGTGGAACTTCCACAGAAAGTCCACAAAAACACACAATGAGTTTGGAAAGCTTCTGACTGGGCTGATGAGCACATCAAAGTGCTCAGAAGATGGCATGCCTGGCGAGCGCGCAGAAGTTCTGTGCCCCGCCCCATCCTATGCATCTCTTCCAGGTGGCTGTCCCTCTACAGTAAACTAGTAACAGAATGTAAAGTGCTACCTTGAGTTCTGTGAGTCGTTCTACTGAATTATCAAACCTGAGGGGTGTCCTGGGAACCCCTGAATTTGTAGTCAGCTGGGCAGAAATGTAGCCTGGGTACCCCATTTGCAGCTGGCATCCAAGGTGGGGCAGTCTTGTGGGACTGAGTCATGAAGTTACGGGATCTGAAGCCACTAACTTGAGGTAGTTAGTGTCAGAATGGAACTGAATTGTTGGACTGCTGGCTGTTTTTAGAGAATAAGAACTGGTCAGAAAATACCACAAGAGACTTTCTAGGAGTGATTAAATTAATGGTTTGAAGATGGGAAGATCATCCTGAATCACCTGGGTGGGCCTCATGTAACCATAATGGTCCTTATCAGAGGGATGCCATATGGTCAGAGTCAGAAAGAGACTGGAAGAGGTTACAGTGTTGCTCTGAGGTAAAGGAATGCAGGCAGCCTCAGGAAGCTAGAAAAGCCAAAGGAATCAATTCTCTGCTAGAGACTCCAGAAGGAACCAGCCCTGCTGACACTAACTTTAGGTCAGGAAGACTGATTTTGGACTTCTGACCTCCAGAACTGTCAGATAATAAATCTCTGTTATTTTAAGCTACTGAATTTGCAGTACTTTGTTACAGCAGCAAAGGAAACTCATACAGCTCTCTACCTTCTTCACTTCTTCTCAACATAAATCAGAATTAAACCAAGACATTCACTGCTAAAGAAGAGGGTCAGGGTCGCTGTGCACAAGGCCAGAGTCCTCTCTCCCCTCCCCAAGGCCAGGTGGGCAGACAGCCATTGCTCCTTTCCTCTTTATCCGAACACAAGACTGGTGGGAAAAGGGGCTCAGCACGTGCCTCCGAAAAGAAGACGCTGTTCCACCTCTGTTCCTCCTCCTGCCTCTACATATACAAACGGCTACCAGGCACCGGGGCCCACTGCCTGCTTCTGTGTGGCCAGATGTGGTGGGGGGAGAAAAATGGAACTTCAGGACACGAAAATTCTATGAAATTCAAAGTTCAGTGTTCACAAATGAGGTTTTACTGGAACACAGCATGTGCATTTGTTCACGTACTACATATGGCTCCCTTCTACTACAATGGGAGAAGTGAGCCCCTCTGACAGAGATCACAAAGCCTGAACTATTTATCTGGCTCTCTGCAGTAAAAGTATAGCGACCCCAGCAACAGGGGTTGTATTTACATGCAGAGCTAACTGCTTTCAACAGTCTTCTTTGAGTCCTTCCTGAAATTTCACAGGACTCAGACTGTTTGCTTTGCTGTATCATACCCCATGTTCCATACATCCTTGGCAAAAAATAATTCCAGTCCATACAAAGTGCAATGTTCAGACAAAAGATGTAAAAAGGTCTGGGCCTTAATAGCACCCTACTTTTTAATTAACTCTTTAATAACTGAAAACATCAGAAAAATACATACTGGTTGAGATCTGAATCTTGACAGGCTCGGGAATATCAGCTTTAGTTAAGTTGACCTCAAAGTCCCTACCGGAATCTTTGTTGTCTTTCTGACTACAAAAATGTTCTTCCCGGGAGCTGATGCCCTGAATGGTTAGAATTTCCATTCTAGGGCTCTCCTTTCCCTCTCCCGTCACACTAGAGGGCCTCCCTGCCTGGAAAGGGACAAAATAATCTAGCCTCTGGCCTGCTGCTTCTAGCTGCTTCTAGTTATACTTTTTCAATGTTAACTATTACTACCAAGATCATTACTGTTTCTATCCATTTATCTGTATATGGACGCCATGTTCAATTTTGTGCTGAAGTTAAACAACTCTCTCTTTTGATTCCCTCTCCTTTGATCTAAAAAAACCTCATTAATCATATCAAAGCCTCAGGTATAGACCGTCTAGGCAGCACAGGGAGTCTCTCCATCGGCTTCTGGGCCAGCCCGACTTCACTCATCATGGCAGTAACAGGGAGCCCGGGGGCTCTGTCTACATTCAAGTCCAGGAAATAAAAGTGAGCATGCTTTGTGGCTTCTAACTTCATCTCAAGTAAAAATTGTTAATAAAAAGCAGATTGCATAAAATCAAAGAGGAAGGGTGCTCAGTTCTGGGAGGAGAGTGTAACATGTAGTAGAACAAGAGCAGGACAGGGCAATTCTCTTGCTCATCTTGGTAACCACATTTTAGTTGTATATTATAAATTAGGTGGCAGCAGCTGGCAACTTTACACAATCTTAAGGAACGCTTAAGATAAACCGTCTTAGAAATTCACATCGTGCTCCCTGTTTGAAGTAAACACAAGGGCAACTAATTAAAACACTAAAACTAATTAAAACACCTACAACTAAGAAAAGTGAAGTCCAGAACTGCAAATGTATTTAGGCAGGCAGAATCTAGAATCAAAGAATCAAAATTAAGTTCAAATCATTGTGTTATGTAAAAAACCAAATCCCTCAAAACATCATAAATACAAGTGAGAAACCTGAATGACCCCTAACGTTACACATGTTGTCCCATGACATACTCACCAGGAGTCTCCCACAGCAAGTCCTGCAGAGCACCTGCCCCCGGAGACGGAGAGAGTCTCCTAATAAACACAGGTGACTGCGATGCCAAAACCATCTCTAACAGATAGGCCAACATGACAGAACCAGCATGCACGCACACAAAGAGATATTATCAAAGGCATATATGTAACTACAAAGAATAGTACCTGATTGAATTTTGGTTCACAGAGCACTCAATACAAGCATTCCGGAGACACCGGAAGCACTCCGTTATTAACTGCAGACTGGAAGCCAGATGTTCCACTTGGGATGGGTCTCTGCAGGCCAGCTCAATGGCATGAGAAGATTTCTTTAAGATATCCAGGACTCTTTGGAAAATAGTCCTGGGTGCTGTTTCTCTGAAAAAGGATAAAATTGTTACAAACCAGAAAAAAAAGAAGAAGACATTTCCAAATGTCCTTTTCAGAACACTGCTGGTACTTAATTTTGTGGGGAGGCAAACTAGGCCTATCTGTTCCAGCTCCTTAGTTTACGACACAAAAGAGCTACGTACACTGAGCACTTCGCCAAGGCACTGCTCTTATCAACCTGTCCCTGTATTATCTCATTTAATCTTTGCATTAACCTTATGAAGCCAATACTGTCCTCTCCATTTTAAAGACAAGACACCTGACACAGAAGAGTCTATGCAACTTGCCCACATCCCTCAGCTAATAACTTTTGGAGCCACAATTCCAACGGAAACAGTCGGATTTCCACCCCCACAACAACCCGAACCCCCGTTTAAGGTGACTGTTTATGGTTATGGGTCTGCCCTTAGTCAAACCAGAATATCTGCATCTCACGTTCTAGACAGAGAATATAACCATGTCCTCTGTCACCCAGTGTGTACCTGAAGTAAAGTTATGAGAAAGGATCCTCACGAAGGACTGCCTGGGGGGCAGAGCCACTACCCATTCTTAGATAGAGGAGCCAGAAGCAGTGCTCTGAGCTCACACACGTTCAACCACAAAGATGGGGAGCCGGGGGAGCAGGAAGGAGGGAAGGAGACAGACAGAAGCAGAGGGAGACGGACAGAGAGATAGAGCGAGCTCGCTTCCAGGCAGAGTGTGTGCCCGGGGCAGGGGATGAACCTGTGGCTGTTCACCCCGCCCCACCCACAACTGGGCACCTCAGTTCCCACGGCCTCTCACGCCAGGAGCACTGCCCGCACTGGCTCTCATGCCACAGCTATGAAGAGAAGGATTTCTGTGTGCAGCACGGCACCTAAATGCAAGCCCATTTCCTCATTCCGTGAATCCCCTAAAGAAACAAGAATCCGCTTTAATGTCAGAAGAAAAACTGCTGTTAGACAACTGAAGAGACTCTTACAGATAAGTCCTGACCATAGGAATTTTCTCCCTGTGCTCGCACTGTGGAATCCCAGCACCCTACATTCACCCCCTGGATGAACTGAAGCCAGACCACCGGGGAGCTGCGCACTTCTCCAGAAGCCCGGCCACTGAAGCGTCCCAAGCGGCTGTGCTTGCTCGGGGGCCTGGGAGACACTCCCTCCGCGAGCTTCAGGACCATAAATACTTGTACTCCAAGTGTCGCCTTTTTATCTTAAGGATGGATGATATAAGTCCCTTTATTTATCACGTTCTCCTCTGTCTTTGCCTTTAAGAAGCCTGGAGTCAAACCCACGACCCATCTTTAACACTATGAATCCCTCAGCATGACTTCTGAGTACTAACCTTATTTCTGGCTTTTCCCTCCCCTCCAATTTCCTCCCTTACCTTTATTTTATCTAACTGTATTTACTTTTTACGGCATGTCAGATTTGTTTTTGGAAAGAGGCAGAATATAAATTAATCAATTAAAAATTGGGAAATCGTGCATAAAATAATCTGCCCCACCTCCCCCCGTTGGCCCTCTCTAAATGGGGATCATGAAGCTTTGACTCAGGGTCGCAGCAATTAAGCGACCAAATAAAAAAGCCAAAGTTCAAAGGTGCAGCATTAGTCCTGCCTCAGAAACTGTATAAAACAATGGAGTGTGTAAGCCACTTTCAGTGACAATATGACAAAAAGAAGATTCACTAACACTCTCAGGACAGCTTTAAGGAGAAGTGGGTGCTGCTGGGGAGAAGGCAATTCCCACTCTACCCCGAGAGCTCTTGCCACTGGACTAATAATAAAATTGACAGACACGCAGGAGAAAAAGAAATTCTAATTCGTGTGCATGGAGGTCTCATAGAAATGGGACCTAAAAAATGTGCCACAGCAGGCAGCTTTTATACTTTTTAGACAAAGAAACACTAAATTTCTGAGGAACTGACTGAACAAAGAAACTCAGGCTTCGGGTGCTTAGTTAGTGAAGAATCTAAGGAGAGTCTGGACTTGGGGTAGTACGTTATAGAGGAAACAAGGTTTGTTTATATAGGCTTCTTGGCCCCAAATTCACCTCTGGGGATAAGGCTGTCCTTCTGACTCCAGATGCAGGGAGGGTACCTCTCACACGGAGATTTACTGCCTGCTTTCAACAGAGAGGAGGGTCAGAGCGTCCCTCTTGCACTGGCTTTTTCTTAAGTAACTTTAATTTTAAAAAAATCAATATGCCACTGAGGCTTATTTGGGGGAGGCGTGCTCTGGGCTCGAACAATACTAAATATAGTGCAGGCACTATTAACACACTAAGAAAGTACCCACGGGTTTAAAACATTCTGAAGAATGCCAAGAGTGATCATGATTTCTACAACAAAGAATAAACCTAATTACCTCTATCTGCCCCACCTGCATAAAGTTCTGATGACATTTATTACTTAATCTTATAGTCAAGTAGAAGTAGAGCTCTAGAACTCCAATAATCTACAATAAAGCCTCTTTTTTTTTTTCTCCTTCGATGACTAAGAAATGTGTGTTTATATCTGGGGTAAAGAAGCCAGTATGATTTCTTTCAGCGGGTCCTTCACAAGCTCCCTCTCTCATGGGCACCACCTTCCTACTGTGAATGGTCTTCTCTGATGTCACTCTTTGAAATCTTAACCTCTGCTTCACTCAAAACTGACATCTAGCACAGCAAAAGCTTTGAAATCAAACTATAACAGACAACACAAAATAACAGCACTGTTCTTAGGAAAACTGGCTAACTGATATGCCAACCATAGAACAATTAGTAAGTTCATGAACCACCCTAAATAATTTCCAATGTTACATGTTAATTTGTCACATATACACCATGCCTTTCTCCTTCATTACACTTTTAACCAAAAGAAAAGTGTCTACCCGAACTACGGCCAACCAAAAGATTCCTGAAACACAAATAACTATTAATAGCTACTAAAGAGTAATCACAGCAACATCTACCCGGCATACAACAGCTCACATACGCAGTATAAAAAGAAAATAAATGGGGATTGTGATCACTGTCATTTGTCCTCCCCATGGATTCCTGAAACCAGCAAGCACTGGCAATCCTCTGGGTCTGTTCACATGTATGCCCTCCCCCAGAATCCCTCTCACACCACCCCCACCCAAGCCTCTGCCTGGAAGAACCCGGGGGCTCCTTTCAGGCCTCTGAAAACTCACAGCCCTGGTGAGACTCCTCTGCTACTCAGAGTACTCAGGGGAGCCGCATCCCATCTCTATGCGCCCCTGGAGCTCGGTCCATAGAATGGAATTGCACCTACCCACATCAGATTACATTCACTGATGCGGTCTGTCACCCCAGCTAGACTATAAATCCCAGAAAAATAGAGACTACCTTATCCTTTTCTGTATCTCTAGGGCCCAGACCTGCATCACTAATTGCATGTGCTCAATTCAAGTTTAAAACAGTGATGAAACTATTCGCGTATTCAGAGCGGGAGCCAACTGCTTCACAGACTTGTCAGGTAACCCACGTACTGAGCATGTGCCCTGAGCCAGGCACCAGGCCTGACGGGAGCAGTGAAATCAGTGTACTTTGCGGCAGCAACTGGAGAAAGGGAAACACTGAGGAACTAGCTCAACTCGCCCATGCCCATTAAGAAATGCACACATCCTGGACCCAAAAATTTGAAAAAAAATGGCCATACCTTAAGATGTTGATATCTTATAATTGGTATTTAAGAAACATCTAATTTCTCCTTCCCCACTGAATGATAAGCTTACCCACTGAATGGGTAAGCTTAAAGGGGGAGGGAGAGGTGAGGGGTTGTAACTCAATTAACTACATTTTAAATTTCTTGAAAGCAGAGACTATTTCTTTTTTTTCTTGCGGTACGCGGGCCTCTCACTGTTTTGGCCTCTCCCGTTGCGGAGCACAGGCTCCGGACCCGCAGGCTCAGCGGCCATGGCTCACGGGCCCAGCCGCTCCGCGGCACGTGGGATCTTCCCGGACCGGGGCACGAACCCATGTCCGCTGCATCGGAAGGCGGACTCTCAACCACTGTGCCACCAGGGAAGCCCAGCAGAGACTATTTCTTAGAGTCTGTACCCCTCTATAAAGGGTGAATGGAAAAAAAAAAAAAACCTTTTCCTCTAGAGCCATATAATAAATATCTACAGATTTTATTCACCATATTTTAATACAATATAATAAATTAACAACTTTCATCAGATGAGGACAAAAAAGCTTTTCATTAACAGTAACTACTATGAAAACATTTAACTCTCTTCTGTACCTCTTTACCTTCTCCACAGCCTTGAAAGAAAGCTATTTGGCATTACAGATCCAAAGGAGTCCTAATGTACTCTTGTCTGCAAATTCCATGTTCACTGTCAAGACAGCACAGCTAAGTATGTGTAATGATTAACGACAGTGAAATAACCAGTAAAGATCAGTCAATCGTTTGTATATTACAAATGTTGTTAATAATAAAAATTGCTGTCATTTCTGCTTTAACCAAACTAACGCAAAATATTCACAAAGACTTTAAGAAGCTTAGCTACTTCATTCACAGAAGGCCGAAAGTACTTAGAAGGACAATTAAAATTCAACCATTAGACATTCCTTTTACATAGGAATGAATGTATACTCTGAAGACAACTTATAAACGAAATGTTACATTACAGAACAAAAACAGCCTTTGAATTATACAAAAGGTAGAACTGCACTTCCTTCAAGTTTGAACAGATCTGTAGGTTTAATCCTGACAAGTCCTGTTTGAATAAAATTAAAGAAAACTACCGGTGATTACAGCACAGGTTAGATAGGCCTAACATACCATCCGTACTCACATCTTACAGTCAATTCATGAGGCGGGACCTCCTTCTGAAAAGGAGACTAAACTGTTCGTCATTTAACACTACGACTAAGACTTACATCCTGGTTGAAAGGTTCATTCTAATACCCAACATTTAATTAAAAATGGGCACATGTGGTTTAGAGTACTTTAACCACTGTCACTGAGAAAAACTATTAGAATACACACAAG